TTCTTTTCCTTTTGTTATTTATAAACTATCGAAAAAGAAGAATAAAAGTTAGTTATGCTTTAACATGAAACGAACTCGAACGTCTTTAAGATTAAGTGCAAATTAAAGCGTAACACGTCTTGAATCTGATTGGTCAATAGAAAAGGTTGTCGACTAACTAACGGTACCCATAAAAGTAACCATTGATAACTTGTTGAACACTTACAAGTTCTAGGAACTTTTAAACAAATTTCAGATGTAACTGTCACGAACTGTGGAGCTCAAGTTATCAAATACCTATTGGGAATCAATCTTTTTAGCAGTTATTTTTAACTGAGTTGATTCTATAAGGCATTTCTTTTCAAGCTTCCGATGAGATTTCTAATTGGTTCATTCTGTATTACGTTTATCAGCTGCTCAAATATACTCGAATGGAACTACAAGAAACTTAATACTAGAATGAAAAAAGCAGATTCTCAAAAGACGAACTAACCTCGTATAAAAATCCAAGTAATCAAAGACATAGTTTTCAGAAAACAACTGATCACTCCCATCCAATTCTTAGAAAAATATGCAGTTCATCAAAGTGGGAACTATTCTATGCATAACAAGCCATTTTATGACAAAAATTATTATGAATTCCATCATTCTGATAATAATCTTGTCATTATTTTCTTGATGCTGAGTTCAAAAATGTGTCAACTAAGATTTTTGTTTAGAAGATGATATTTTTAAAAAGATACCAACCAGAGATATTGACGTAAATCAGTGTATTCTTCAGGGTAGGAAGACGTTCATGTAGTCGATTGATTATTCCATAAGTAACATTAACTAATGTAAGTGCACGAATTTTAGAAAATTGTTGTAGAGCTTCATTATTATAAAAAAGCCACCAACGTGTCTTTTCTAAATTACGTGAAGTAAAAGATAGAATATTCATAGGTTGAAGTAATAATGAAAATGATGCATATTCATTCATTGGAATAGGATCAAGATCAAAATGAATACCAGCACTATTAAATAATGAACTGAAACGACTATTTAGCTGTCCAAATGGTATATAAAGTTGATAGACATTAAAATACTCAAATATATTTAAAATTAATTCATTTGATAAATCTTCAAATATTACCACCATTTCAATTCTAAATAAAGAATTCAACGTTATTTTTAATCAAGTTTTTATTTTAAAACACACTGACACTGTTTTGTTTGATGATCGATGATATAATATAATCTATTAAAAAAAAAACATTTAGGTTTTTACATGATCTATTTATTTATTTTATTTCTACTCATGAGTAGTATGTTAAAAGAAATTGAGAAAAAAAGTGCACGTGTTGACTAACGTTATAGGTAAACATTGGATAAAAAAGGGAACAAATCAGAAATCGTCATCAGCACAGAATCAGAACTGTTGTGTCCTACAGGACGAAAACTCATTTTGTTTTGCTCTACTGTGTTTGTCTTGGATGTAGGTAATTGCAGCAGAGCACAGAGCAAGTTATTTTGTTCCGGTAAATTATGTACTAGTTCACATGTAATATATGTCTTCA